AAAATATTTTCTTATTAAAACTATTTAGGAAGTCCTAATATTTAAGAATTTAAATCAAGTAAGCTTTAATTTATGTAAATTCTTTCCTTGTTTGTATTGAATAAAATAAGTACTAGCGTATAATTATAAGTATTGTAACACCTCCTTTTTCTACCCCGAAAGAGGGTATAAGGGAGTTTTCTCCAATTAAAGTGACAATCGAAACGGGATTAATTATTAGATTCAGAGTCGCCACTTGGGATAATTTATGATGTCCAAGTCACCGGTTTAAAATCCCGAATCGAGGAAATTGACTCTTATTTACGGTCTGCGAACAAAGAAATCCAGGTAAAGAATTCTATTAACCGGGAGAAGGTGTTAGGCATTCCCGAGTTCCGTGGTTTTAGTACGGTCGCTTTGATCATACTTGGCTTATTAAATTGTTTAACTACTCATTTAGAACCTATGTGCTTTCACCTCTTTTAATTAAAATATTATCCTAAAACGAGTCATGCGTACGTGTACTCATTTCGTTTGGCGCGTCAAAAATCATGTCACGCGTACGTGTCCACAATTCCTAACACTTTGTTATTTAAGAAAAGTTTGGCCAAAGTTGCGCGAACGCATACCTTAATTTATTTTGGAAATGATCGTAATTATGTCACGTGAAAGAAAATAATAAAGGACAATGACCGGCTAAGAATTTTCAATTCCAATATTATTCACTGACCAAAACGAGTGAAGAAAAAGCTAACAGAAAATTTTGTGACTGATTTTGGCTATAGATATCAAAAGTCTATATTCATTTTTTAAGACCCATTAATCGAAAACTCTAGTATGTCAGAACTAATGAAAAATATTTAAAGAAAAATTAAAAGAACTAAGGAAGAAACACACCTTATGTTTTCATATTGTCCAACAACGAAAAGAAGAAAAGGTAAAAATCATTTAAAGAGCCAATTGAAAATTTTTGTTTAGCCGTCCAAATGGCAAATCAGCTCAACATATATATTCATTGTAACAGTTCTATATATGATCAAATCTACGCTCACTCGAGCATTAGCAGAATTTATTATACGAATTTGAAGAACAAACCAACAGTCAAAATAAGACAAAATAAATAAAACGACATTGTTAAATCCCCAACGATAACTTCTTTTAATGGCTCATCAAGCTCGATTCACAACAGAAATAAAGGGATGAAATAGATGAACCTGTTTTAATATATGAGAAACTGAAAGTACAGGGCTTCAAATCTAACTGAGGAAAACAGCGACGAAATCGAGCAGGAACCGCGAACCCGAATCGGAAACACAGACCACACCTCGAACGGAAACTTCGACTACGCAGCAGTCAAACTGTTTCTCTGCCTTCCTTCCCAATTTTTATCCCCAAAATTTGTTCCCCCAATCTTTGTCCGTGTGTGCGTGTTTTGTAGAGGATGGAAAGGCTGGTGGCGATGGTGAGAGAATGAGGAGGAAGACCAGGAAAAATGAGGATGGTCGCTGGGTCTGTTCAATGACTGAAGAAGATGAAGCTAGGGGTGTTGTTTTTTTGTTCAGAAAAAAGTCGTGGAAGGCTGCTTGAAGAAGATGATCAATAGGGGGGGTCCGATTTTTTGTTTTTGCGGCTGATAGCTAAGTCTAGGTTTTTAGGTCTAGGTCTAGGGTTATTTTAGGGTGAAGGTTATTTTAGGTTTTAAAATCTGATAGGCTAATGTATTGAGCTTTAAAACTTGGGCCTTTATAACCAAATTTGCTTAAAATTAGCTTTATTAACCAAGAATCTATTCACCCTGCATCAACTCTTGCATATAAAATAAAAAAACAAAGATAAAAATACTACCAAAGTATTAATTAGCCCTGCTTAAGTAGAAATAACTATTAAATTAAAACTAACCATTAAAACAAACCAATTAATTTTTATTTTTGTGACAAAATAAAGTAAAGGGGTCAAAATTAATTGAAATAGCTATATTAGATCTAAACTAAATATTTAAATGCTAAAATATGTAAAATCTTGGGGAGGGTCAAAAATCACATGTCTACAGCTGCCCTTCTTTGACGGGAAACACGAAGTATTTTCAAACAAAGAACGACTAGACGGGTTTTTTGACCCGACCCTTATTTTAAGGAGACAAAAAACTAAGAGAAAGGAGAATGTGACTAAGCCCTGGTATCTGAGCTGCCTACATATCCTTGGCTATAAAGGAATCAGGCCACGTGTAGTTCAGAAGTGGGAAGAGTGACGAAGTTTACCGAGGTGGAGAGCCGGTCGAGGTGCCGTTCTGTCGAGGTTTCGATCCGCGGTCCTGTTATTACCTCAAAATCAAAAATGAAAAAGACTAACTAAGCCTGTCAACTATGAGTTACAAGATTCCTATCTATAAGTCTTCTAAAGCTTGACCTTGAGTCTTGAATGGTTCTTCATGCAGACTTTAGATTTAAACCTTGACGCTTGCTAGCTGCAGGTGCTAGTTCATTCTTCTTCGAATCAAGACCGGATATGCAATGCACGTGATTGTAGCCATGTCTTGAGCAGTTCACATCTTTCTCTACTTCTGCATTTTGGATTCACTTCTTTCCTTTTTTTTCTGGATTGTGACTAACTTCTGTTGACCATCTCGGACTGTTGACTCGCATTTTTACCGCAAACTTCTGCTATTTATAACTTGAATTGAATTCTGAAATGACTTCCCTTGTTTTCCAGGTGGGCGCCTGATTGCCAAAACATGAACTGTATTCCCTTGGTCTCCAGGTGGGCGCCTGATTGCCAAAACTTGAACTGTATTCCCTTGTTCTCTAGATGAGCGCCTGATTTCCAAAACTTGAACTGTATTTCCTTGTTCTCTATTTGGGTGCTTGATTGCCAAAACTTGAAAGTGTATTCCTTTGTTCTCCAGGTGGGCGTTTGATTGCCGAAACTTGAACTATATTCCCTTGTTCTCCAGGTGGGCGCCTGATTGCCGAAACTTGAACTGTATTCCCTTGTTCTCCAGGTAGGCGCCTGATTGCCGAAAACTTGAACTGTATTCCCTTGTTCTCCAGATAGGATCCTGATTGCCAAAACTCGAACTGTATTCCCTTGTTCTCCAGATGGGCACCTGATTGCCAAAACTCGAACTGTATTCCCTTGTTCTCCAGGTGGGCGCCTGATTGCCAAAACTTGAACTGTATTTCCTTGTTCTCTATTTGGGTGTTTGATTGCCAAAACTTGAATTGAATTCTGAAATTACTTCCCTTGTTCTCCAGGTGGGTGCCTGATTGCCAAAATATGAACTGTATTCCCTTGGTCTCTAGGTGGGCGCCTGATTGCCAAAAACTTGAATTGTATTCCTTTATTCTCCAGGTGGGCGCCTGATTGCCAAAACTTGAACTGTATTCTCTTGTTCTCCAGGTGGGCGCCTGATTGCCGAAACTTGAACTGTATTCCCTTATTCTCCAGGTGGGCGCCTGATTGCCAAAACTTGAACTGTATTCTCTTGTTCTCCAGGTGGGCGCCTGATTGCCGAAACTTGAACTGTATTCCCTTATTCTCCAGGTGGGCGCCTGATTGCCAAAACTTGAACTGTATTCTCTTGTTCTCCAGGTGGGCGCCTGATTGCCTAAACATGAACTGTATTCCCTTGTTTTCTAGGTGGGCTCCTACCATTACAATAAAACAGTCAAAATAAAAGAAACTTTTCCGCCCCAGTTTGGTACCGGGAACATCTGTGAGTGTTAATCGAATCTTGTTACCCAAAAGAGCTCTAAGAATTTAAAAGCTAAATCCCATTATCCATGAGGGCCCTGAAAATTTAAAATTAAATCTCATCTTAAGAGTGAAAACTATAAAGCTAAATTATATTTCCTAAAGATAGGACTTACGCTAAATCTTGTTATCTATGAAGGTCTTGAAATTTAACTAGGTCCTATTATCCAGGAGGGTCTTGAAAACTTAAAATTAAATCCCAGTATCCAAGAGGATCCTGAAAAGCCGAGAATGAACTTACTTGAGCCATGCTCTCTTCATGGAGGATCTCTGCAGAACGAACAAAATTCCTTGCCCCTGAACCATGCTTTTCCTCATGGAGGGTTCCTGCAGATCGAACAAATTTTTCTTTCCCCTTCTCAAACTGCCTTTGCGCTGACAAAATTTGGGCATGACACTTGAAAAGATTCAAACTTCCAAGCTTTAATCTGGACACAATTTTCATCCCTATTTCAAACAAAGAGAACTTGTGAATTTAAACATGGTGGTTGGTTTGTGGCCTTGACTTTGAGTGCGATTGCTCCTTCACTTCCCATGATAACTTTGATTTCAACTCGAAAGACTTTGCTTGTTTATTGAGTAACCACTTTCTATCACCTTTATCATAGAAAATACCTCTAATCCATCCAAACCCAATACCTTTTATCTATTGCATTGTGCTCATGAATTGACATATACCGAACCTTTGTGTTTCACAAGAATCCTAAAGCACGTTGATTGTTACCAACTTAGTGTGCGTAATGCTTTCCTGACGTATGCCATTGGCCTTGGCCTTGATGTCTATTGCTCCTTCACTTGCTATGATAACTTTGATTTCCACTTGGAAGACCTTGCTTTTTATTGGTTAACCATTCTCTCTGTCAACCTTATCACAGAAAATATCTTTGATCCGTTCAAACCCAACACCCTCTATCTGTTACATTGTTCATGAATTGACATATACCAAACATTTGTATTTCACATGAATCCTAAAGCACGTTGATTGTTACCAACTCAGGGCGCATGTTGTTCTTTCCTGACTTATGCCATTTTGATGTGCTATCCAGATCCCGTTTTGTCAATTGGAAAGCTGGTGGCAAATTTTGAAGTCATTTCTCACTTGTTCTGACCAAACATACTCAGGAAGAGGAAGTAAACAAGACAAAAAGAACAGAGTAAAGGACAATGGAAAGAGATGATTCCTAACAGGAAAACTACAAAGTAGAAACTT